CTGCCCGCGCGCCGAGATGGCGTCAGGGGTGGGCGGGAAGGAGCAGCGCGGCTCCGCCCGCTGCCGGGGGTCAGCCCCTGCAGCTCCAGCGCCTTCTCTTTCTCTGTATTAAACAGTCCTGCTTTCAGCTGTCAAATAATTCCTGGCGTGTTGTCTTGTAGCGGGCTGGCGGCCCGCTTGGGGGAGCAGGGCAGTTCCCGGGCCGTGATGGCCGGTTGTTGTGGGACAGCCAGGACAGGTCCCTTTGCCCCCGAGGACATTCCGTCAGGTCCCACCCCATGGAGATGGGCAAGCACTCCTAGGGAAAAAAACATCATGTTCTGTGCACTGGGACCCCCCACCCCATCCAAGATAAAAAGAGGGAAAGAACAGGTCTAGAGTTCCCCAAGAGACACAGATATTTCTGCTCATCTTTGGGCCAAGGTCAAACTCTGCAGTGACCAGGGCTGGAGCCTGTGCTGTTCAATGCAGATACCCTGTAAAGAGAGAGTGGCGACTTCACTGCTGGGAGAACTGTCCCATCATGGTGAAGATGAGAGCAGAGCATGAAAAATGCAGAGGGATCTTCCAGGGCCAAATGCCCTTGCAATAAAATTGCAGGTCCCACTCAGCACAGGCAACTGTAAAGCAATGCAAATGAGAAAATACAGCCCCAACTGTGCATAAAATAAAGGGTTCTGACCTGAGCTCCACCCAGGAGTAAGATCCTGAGCTTACGAGACCTTGAGCTTTTTCCATCCCTGTGGGGAAAACATAGCAGCCCCACCACCTCTTCTCTATCCAGGGCTTCTCTTCCTTCTAGCACTCTTCCCAGGTGATCCTTATATCTGCACCTCTCTACCTTGACCACCACCTTCCCAAGCGAACCTTATATCTCACCAAGTGTTCCTTGTTAACCTCTAATGGTTGGCTAGAAAATCCTTTTATCCATCAAGTAATTAGCATTATTATTTTCATTCCTGGCCAACCTTCCTTCCTATTCCTTATTCCTACACATCCCAACAAATTTATCAACTTAGCAAGGATACAGAAAGAAAAAAAAAAAAAAAGTTGGACAGGGTTACGTGGCATGGCTAGTTGTTGCAGGGAGACCTGTTTCTTCACCAAAGGGCAAGCATTGGCCACCTCTGCGCCTGCCTTGGCTGCTGCCTTCCCATGCACAGATGAGCCTCAGCACCCTGGCCAGGGCGGCCTGTGGGCATGGTGGCCCTTGCGTGCAGTGGTTGCCACAACCTGGTGGTTGGTGCTCTGAGCATGGTGGCTTCCCAGCACAGTGGCAGGGAACAGAGGTCCCTGTGCAAGGACAGAGCCCTGGAGCGGCCCTCACGGAGCCTGTCCTGCTGTGATCCTGCTTAAAGCCCTCCCCTGGGAGCGTCCCGTCCTGTCGCGTCCCGCCTGCCCGTCCCTCCCCGCGCACCCGGGTGCTCGGCGCGCTCGCAGGCATGTACGCCCGGCGGAAAAGGAAGAAGCCCGTGCCCAAGAGGTGGGTGCGAGGGGGACGCGTGTCCAGAACCCCTGCCCTGTCCCCGGTGGGCGCTTCGGGGTGGGGAAATCATCTGGGGCCGGTGTCCTCCTGCCCTCGGCAACCCGAAGGCTTTGCTCCCTTCTGAGGAGCTCGGATATCCGGCCCGAGCTGCAGGCTTGCTTAGAGGGCAGCACTGAGGGCACTTGTGTAAATGAAGGGTATCACAGTCATTACTTAATTAAAGAATGCTAATGAGCAGGAACTAATAAATATATTGCTCAATAGCCAGTGCATATTGACCGCCCTGATGCCCGGCTGCAGTTCATGGCTGTGGGACCCCATGTCTCCCTCTTACATACCCCCCCAAACTGCTCCAAAGTCCTCTCAGTGTCATGGCTTGGGCTTACTAGGAATGTAGTAGATATAGGTATATATTTTGGGGGGCTGATGGGGAGGGGGAAGTGCTGGGACAGAAGAAGGGAGCGTCACACCGCCTACGTACATGGCAAGAATGTGAGTCACAGCCTTTTTTGTGCAATTACTAGGGACTTTTGAGGAAGTGTAAAAATACGAAGGGTTGGTCTTTCTCAAATCTTTCTCCTGCTCACCTGTCCTGTAACAGCAGTGGTGTGGGAAGGTAGGGTGAGATGCTTGGTCCCTTTGCAGTTTGCTTGATGCTTCTTTTTTATGTTGGGGGGAAAAACAATATTTCAGCATTTCGGCACAGACAACCCTCAAATTACCTTTTTTTTTTAAAGTTATTATCACGGGGCATTTGCCGGCTTGCAAAAGCAGTGCATTTCCTGTTGCATTGCCCGTTCAAAGTGCAGCTTGTAGAAAACATGGCCACGAGCATCGCAGCCTTTGCCTCTTCAGAGCAAAGCTTCCCTTGCGGCTCTGTGGATCGGGCACAACGACGCAGGGACCTTGGTCCTCTCCCAGCAGTTCACCATGAGCTCGGCAGCTGGGTTGCGCTGCGTTTTGATCCATGCCCGTGGAATAATGCTGCGTTCCCGCTCCTGCAAGTGGGGCAGTGGTGGAAACTCAGCAGGTGCCTGTCTCCCATAGGGAAGAAGAACTGGGGGACTTGGCACCCACCCCTAGCCAACACATAAAGCATAGACCACCGTGCTGGGCTGCTCAGATGCCTTGTCCATAGGAAAAATAGCAATTTTCACCCTCGCCATAAAGGGCAGTGCTTCTTGCTCACGTCTAGTTTCCTTTTCTTCACTTTTCTGGTATTTGTGGATGTATTTGGGTAGTGCTTGTGCAGAGGAGTCTTCTTGAAAGTGCATATGAGAGAAGGCAATTTTTTTTCTCTTTTTTCTTTCCCTCTCCTCATCTCTGTTTCTGATGGCAAGGCTCCATACTATTTCTTTCTCCCCTTTTTTTTTTATTTACCTTCCTGATGACTGTGATTGTAAAACGTTTTGCTGACTAATAGAGTACATAAAGACACCGCTGCTGATAGGTTTTGCATGACTTGTCCAAACATGTCCAGTGACGAGTTGTACTTAGCCCCTGTGACAAGCAGGGTATTTCTCTCCCAGCAGTCATGTTGCAAAGCAGCAGGACAGATTTTTTTTTTAGAAGAAATGCTACCATTACCTATCCCTGATTAGAAGTCCCCTTGATACAAAACTGCAGTGAAAACTCAATGGACACCTCACTGTATTTCATTTAATATTCATTTCTTCTCTTGCCGCCCATGCAAGCAGGCCTGCCAGATGAGATTTGAGAGTAGCTTTGGGGGAGAGAGCTTAAATTGTTTCTAAGACTGGCAGATCCTGTTATCTGAAGCTGCCTTATGAAGCAGGGATGCCTGCAGAGAGAGAATTTATGGTTAGACAAATTACATCAAAATGGTACCGGTTGCATGTTATGGAACACAGTGGAACCAAATGCATAGAGGGGTCTCCCAAGAAGTCTAAAGGGTTTCTCTTCAAGCAGAAAATGCAAGTCAGCATTTTAAAAAAATCAACAACAACAACAACAAAATAACATGACAAAGATCTGTTAAAGATCCCAGATCTGTTAAAGTCATTAACTAACCTCTTACTGGCTTTGTTGTGGCTGGGACCTTAATCCTATGGTGTGAAATAACAGCGGCTGAAAAACACAGATCCCCATCTCAGCTAAAAAGAGGAAAGAACTGCTCTCATGACCTATTTTTGCAGATTGAGGCTTGATCCCTGAGCCGAAGATTGGTATCATATGTTGTTTTACGTTAGAAACACCAATCTGAAAGAGTTAGAAATTAGAAAACAAAACTGTATTAAAAAATGAGGTTGTTGTGCTGTGTGTGTAGTATCTCTTTTCCATTGGTTTTGTGCTGACTTCCACTCTTTGTAACCTAGGTTAATGAATAAAGCAATTAAGTCAGGCTCGGTCAGATACTCTCTGATTTCTGAGTAGACAGATGATGGCTTGTCGGTCTTTGCCCTCCATGTCCCTTTCTTTGCCAAGGCTCAGCAGTGGGAGCACATGGGGTCAAGGCTGTCATGTCCAGCTGAGCTGTCTCAGCCAGGCTGCACATTGAATTGCCTATCTGAGGGCCACCCCTTTCTCCAGCTGGAGGACATCGTGCCTGGGACTGCGTTAAGTGGCTCTTTGGGGTGGTAGCCAGTCTGTAGGTCCCATCAGACAGGTCCAGTTGATCAAATTCTCCTTGGCTTTCTGCAGGCCCCAAACACCACCCTTTGAAGGTATGAAGTCCAGTCCCTCCAAACGGCATCGAGAGCGGCTCAACCAGGAGCTGGCCAGGCTGACGAGCCTGTTGCCCTTCCCCGAAGATGTGTGCCTGAGGCTCGATAAGCTCTCCATCCTTCGGCTGGCCGTGGGGTACCTGAAGCTGAAGAGCTACTTCATGGGTGAGTGCCAGGGCTGGCATTGCAAGGGTTGGTTCTGCTCAGATGGGGAGATGTTGCCTCTCCACAGCTCTTGGAAAAGCTCTTGAGCTCTTGAGTCTCGATCCTCCTGAGCAACATGTGCCATAGGGCAGAGGGCTGTGTTCTCTGAGGATAAAATGATGAGTTGTAATGCCAGAACCACATGTGTTAATGCATCAGTGTTGCATCTGTAGGCCTGAAATGTGTTTTAGCTGAGGTAGTGACCTGAAAGCACCTTGGGGCACTGGGAAGGAAAATACCATGTGTCCAGGAAGTGTCATGTGGTCCGTTATTAAACCAGGCATTTCTATCCTTACTGAAGAACCATTGTTCCCCACCTATGTATGAATGAAACAAACCTTTTGAAAGGAAAAGGAAGAATCGGAACGGGGCACTGCACTGCCATGGGGGCTTCCTCCCCTCGAGCAGGAGCAGTGTCCGTGGCATGTCCAGGACACATCCTCCCAGCCAGAGGCTTGCTGTGGAAAGTAATCCTTGTTGCACGGATTCCCATTCAGCTGGAGACCCTTCCTTGTCTCAGAGCCCGGTCGTACTACGCCAATTACATCCATTTGGGCACTGTGCATTTGATTTTCTCCCCTGCCATGCTTCACCCATGTCTGCCCTGAAATGCATTGGGTTTGACTTCAGATCGTTTCACCAATTTATCAAGGTCAAATTGGATTCTGGCTCTGCCTGATGAAGTGCTGTGTCATCTGCAAATGCAGCCCCCTGCTTAGGGTGTATCACATCAGGCATTTCATGGAGATGGCGACAGCTCTTGTGCCGTGATCTGGAGTTTGGTTTTGTTACTCTGTCCTTTCTCCCTTCTCGTAGCAGCAGACAGGGAGTGTAGCTCCTCTGTCCCTGCACCTTGGCCTCCTTTTCCTTCAGCAACCCATGTTCATTGCCTTGTCTCCAGGCAGCTTTAATTGGTACCATATTGAAGAAGCAATGCTTCTTTATGAGCATTTCTAGGGCGTAAAGGCAATTTCCCTTTCTCCTAGGCAAAAGAGTTAATACAGTCTGCACAGAGCCAAAGAGCAGGGTTATAACCAGTTCAACAAGGAGTCAGATGTGTATGGATGTCCCTGGATTGCCTGCACAGGCTGTGTCATAGATTAAAAGTAAAATCCCATGTGCCATTAGATGTGGTTCTTGCAAGAAAAATTGTTCACACAAAAAAAAGCTCATTCAAGGCTGAGAGGCTGAGATTCCTTTTGGCTTCCTGTCTTTGGAGAAGACATTCAGATCTTTGTGACAGCAGATAGACCTATTGCTTCTGAAAGCAGGTGTGACTATAAAAAAGAAATTAGATTTTTTTTTTTTGCTTCTTTCTATAAAAACTTTTCTAGGTAAGGATGAAAATTGTGTTAACCTTTGTCTCCCTGAAAAAGAAAAAAAAATGCATTACAGGAAATTCTGCTGCTCTGAAGCATCTCATTATAAAGAAAAAAAAAGAGCAATTAAAACAGCTGACCTCTTCTCCATCAATACCATCCAGACCCATGTCTCTCCACATAAACCTTTTAGAAAAGTCCACTTAAGAAGTGAGATTTTTTTCCCTCCAAAACAAGTTAAAAATCATTGCTGGTGTAAAAGTTGCTCCAACACATTTTTTCTTTCAACTACTCTGCCCTGAGTCCACCTGAGAAAAGCTTGGCCTATGTTGGCAGTGCTGCCAGCCATTGGGGTGATCTAGGCTCTGTGGTGGGATGGGAACTCCAGCCCCAGTTTCCACTTGTTTCAAGCAGTGAGACCCTCAGGAAGCTTGGATGGCTTTGCTTAGTGCTGAATGGCTTGGAAAACCTCCAGCTTGCCTTGGAAATCTTGGGAATCTTGGGAATCTTGGGATTCAATTCTATGTGAATGGAGCAAAAGAAGCAGATGCTTGGAGTTGCAGAGAAACATCCTGGAGTGACTGCTGATGTGGTAGCAAGTTCTGGCTCTGCCGATGGCAAAAGCTGCAAGAAAATAAGGCTGAAAATATTTGGCAGTGGGGAGGGTTCTCGCTCACTGTTGGCTTCTGTGCCATTTTCTCAGACCAAGGTCACCCCAGACAATGAGACCTGCCTTGATGCCTGCTGTAAAGTTTTCTCCCGGGTTTTGGAAACAGTACAGGAGCCAGTGGAGAACCCTCCCAGATTTATGACCATGCTCCAGAGCCTGGCGGAGCTCTGCATGACTAACAGTTTAGAAAGCAAACAGTGGATAATGGGGTACCTTCCACTATTTCCAGTAACCCACTGGCCCACTGCCAGCCTGTTGTCAGTCTGTAGCAGGAGATGCCTTCTTCCCTTTGCTTGCTTATGAGACCATGTGGCCTGAACATTCCTCCCTGTTGTGTTTGATCTCCTGCCAAGCCCCCATTTGGTGTTATGCCGAGCACCCCGCTTGGGCTGCTGCCAAAGGGAACCTACAGGCTTCATTCCTGTTCCCTGAGCAATCCATTTGCTCTATATCCTCCAGTGCACGAGGTCCCTCAGACCAAAGTAGGAGGTTTCCCATCGGCTGCACCCAGGAATGTTGCCCAGAACATGAGGTGGGCGGCAGGTGGTAAATGAGTCAGCCCAAGGAGCCACCAAGCTGCGAGTCCCGGGAGCTAGAGGTAGCTCAGAAGGCAGAATGAAGAAAGCTGAGGCTACTGACACTCTGAACTGCTTTTAAGTCATCAAATTTGAGAGAGAGAAAATGTCCAAAAAAAACCCCAAAACAAACAAACATAAAAACCCTGACACTTGGATGCTTTGATGGTACATCAGATGGACGGGCCTCCGGCCCTTTGTGTTCCTGCCTCTGATGCTGGCAGAACAGAGGTTTCCCATAAATGAGACCAAGCAGGGGAGGTGATACCTTACAGGCAATGCTGGTCGGGAGCAGGTGGCTTTATAAAGGACTTGTTTGCTGAGGGTCTCTGTTCCAGCTCCCCCAGATTCATGTTCTTTGTGAGCCAGGTGCATAAGCACTGGGTCGCACAGTGCAGCCATCCAGGAGTCACTCTGAGAAGAGCAGGAGGAGGAGGGAGAGCTTTGAGGTTGGCCCCTTCCGCACTGATTTCTTGCCCTCTCGCTCACAGCTGCGGGGATGGATGTTGGCAGCCACAGGCTGGATCAGCCCAAGGCAGCAGGAGAGAACGGACAGACATGTCTGCAAGCCAACAGGGTGGCCTTTGGCGAAGGGGACCTTCTGCTCCAGGTATCGGGCCACAGCTCAGTTGTCCAAGGTTGTTCTCTGCCCAGCTCTGCAGCCTATCTAGGTCTCTCTGAATGGCCACACAGCCCTCTGGTGTATCAGCCACTCCTCCTCGTTCTTCGTAATGAGCAAACTTGCTGAGGGTGCCCTCTGTCCCTTCCCTCCGCCCTTTGTCCCTTCCCTCCGCCCTCTGTCCCTTCACCCAGGTCCATCCACTGAGGAATAAGCTGAACAGGATTGGAGCCAGTAATGACTTTTGGGGGACACCACTATCTACAGGCCTCCAGCTAGACTCTGCACTGCTCATCACAACCCTCTGAGCTCTGCCATTATGCCAATTTTTAACCCAAAGATTTATGATACTTTTTTATTCTTTTTTGTTACCTCAGGCAAGTCACTGCTATAGCTTTCAGTAAATGTCCCAAAAGATTAAAGCAATTCTGAGTGAAAAGTTTTTTCTATTAAAAGAACCAAGTCAAGTAGCTTTAAATGGTCTCTACCCTTGGATATTAATACTCTTCTGCTGTGCATCATCCAAAACCAATTCATTAGGGGGAGCCAGCTGGTTATAGCAAAGGACCAAAGAGAGCTAGTGATTCTCTTAGTCTAAGTACAGAGCTGAGCCCAAGCACTCCCTGGGGCTTTGAATAAGGCCATACAATGTCAATGTGTTCAGCTGCCAGAGAGCATCAGCAGCCTCAGGTGACTGGAGGCATCTGGAAAATGTGTGCAGTGCTAATGTGACCAAAGTCCTGGCGCTCAGCTGCCCATTTTGCCCTAAAGAGCATTTTAATTAGGCGCTATGATTTGCAGAAAACTAACGCAGTGCCCCTCGAGGGACTGCAGAGCACACAGGGAAGAGGCTCCCGTATTCCCTCTAGAGATCCAGACTGTAAGCTGGATCTGTACGGAGCCAATCCATATGTTCAAATGAGCAAGATACTAAAAAAAGAAAAAAAAAAAAAAAAAAAAAAAAAAAAAAAAAAAAAAAAGGAGCCTGTAAGCATCACAAGGCTTGCTTTCAAGGATGTTAGGGTTGCAGTGGCTGGGCAAAAATGCTAGTGAGCCTTGCATTTTCTATAGCCTTTCCTTTGTTGTGGGTGTCCTACTAATGAAGAAGATCCTTTCCTGTCCCTTGGACAGGACCTAGAAAATGTCTTTTTTTGTGCAGCTGCATTAAGGCTAGGAAGTGTAACTCTGGGCTGAATTTGCCTTTTCAGGCTCTCAATGGATTTGTCCTCGCTGTGACCGACGATGGCAACATCTTCTATGTCTCCCCTACAGTGCAGGACTTCCTGGGGTTTCATCAGGTGGGTACCACTTTTTCATGGGTGGAAATAAACGGTGGCAATGCAGGCAGGGGCAGGAGGTGAGGAGCCAACAGCAGCACTCCTTCCTTCCCCCCAGCTCCCTTTGCTCATTTTTGATGTACCTTGGCAAATGAGTTGTATTCATTGGGGGTGACTAAATCATACAAACATGTGCATGATTTTAGTAGAAACAGCAAATGCAAACTGAGCAATCACAGGCTCTGCATCCTCTTGGCTTTGTGTGTAAGAGGGGTGTGAGCTTTTTGTCATATGGTTTAAATATTACAAAATACGGTTTAAATATAAAGAGGGGTGGAGGAGGAAAGATACACGCTAGTGAGCCATGTCAGTGCCCTGGAGCACTGCAGATTACATGGGATGCCACAGAGAAGTGGGGCTCTCCCCGCTGTCCTGTCAGTGACTGCATCAATCCCAATAGCACATCTTGCATTTCCTAAATTTCTTCTTTCTTACGGCTCCTGCCATTTTCCAGCTCCTGTGCCAAACTCTTCTCCCTTGTTTATTCATTCCAGTCAGACCTCATCTACCAGAGTGTTTACGAACTGATCCACGCAGATGACAGAGCCACCTTCCGCTGCCATCTCCACGGGGCCTTGAACCCTCTTGCAGCCAGCAGGGCCAAGGGCACTGCTGACGGTGAGTGCAGGGGCCAGGAGGCACATCCACGCTCGTGGCCTTCAAAGATGTTTGGTTCAAAGTCCCACTTCATGGTCAGGCAGAAGTCTGAGAGCCACATCAGTGTCTGCAATCTGTCTGCGCGAGCTCGGGAATGTTTGTGTTCTGGTCACTGAAAGGATGGTGGTTTCCTGCTGCTCTGCAGCATCCCGTGGCTTTCCCATGCTGCCTGCATAACCATGGCAGCCAGGCATGGGAGAGCCCTGGATGTTGGACAGTCGGCACGTCCCTTTCATCACCAAACGGAGCAAATGGCAATGATGCCTTTTCTTTCACTGTGCTGGGTGAACAGGGACAGCAGACAAAAGTTCCTCTGCTTTTGAGCACTTGAAATTCTCATCCCGGGGTGAGAAGAGGCCACACTTTTTCCTTCTCTCTGATTTCTCATGATTATGGTCCCCACTTCGTGTGTAGTAGCAACACCGGAGGGCTGGACAGTACAGGATGGTCTCGAGGGACGGAGGTCTGGGTGGAGAGCAGTGTCTGTGGTGGATCTGAACGTGCTCTCTCTCACTCTTGACTCACCCTTTCCTTTGGTTTCACAGTCCTGCCTACAAGCCAGACTTTGCCAGCTGGATACAGTGCCCCATACAGCCCCCAGCACCTGCCCCTTGAGAACATCTCCTTCACGGAGAGGAGGTTCATCTGCCGTCTCCGCTGCTTGCTGGATAACTCCTCAGGATTTCTGGTAACTCGGTCCTTTGCCAGCAAAAGAGGTACCTCTTCCTCCAGTGCCAACCCTAGGGCATGCAGCTCAGAGCCAGGCTTCCCAGGGAAGGATGGGTTCTTGCTTGAGGATGCAAGTGCACTGAGCATCCCTCAGGGCCTGGCTCTTTCAAAGCCACAGTGTCCCTTCCCATAGGCTTCATAGCCAGTACCACAGGCTACGTGCACACATCGTAAGGTCTGGTCAGGCCTTCAAGTAAGGTCCCTGCAGGACTTCGGCACCTCCAGGCTGAGTGGCTACTGAACTGGGAAGCTGCCATGTGGGTGAAAAATTGCAATTGGGACCAGCATTCCCAGAGGGCTGACGATATCCCTATAGACTCAGATTGACAACCCTGACAGAGTCAGCTGTGTCTGAGCTGTCCAGCCCAGTATGTTCACTAGAGGCCACTCATGTCCTATGCTGGTGTGAGTCTAGCAGCCTAATTCCCATTTCCTCACTCTTTTTGCCTCATACTCTTATTTTCTAACCTCTGTAAGGCCTTACATTTCCGCGGACGGTTGAAATTGCTTGATGGGCTGCAGAAGAGGGCATCCAGCAGGTCCCCGGTGCCTCCCCAGCTGGCTCTCTTTGCCATCGCAACTCCTCTCCAGCCACTCTCAATCCTGCAGTTTCCGGCCAAAATGTTCCTCTTCGAGACAAAACACAAGCTGGACTTTACTACAACTGCCTGTGATTCCAGGTATAGTGTCTCCCTCCTTTGCTGGTGCAAAATCCATAGAAGCTGAACAGAAAACCTTTAGGAGCAGGGCACTTCTGACCAAACTCTCACGGCAAACCCCGCAGGTGTCTGACCCCTTTGGAAATCTGTCTCATCCACTGCCGGGCACTTCTGCAGCCCAGGTCTTTTGGCTCCTCAGTAACACAGCAAACAAACTAATTGGGTCCCAGGGCTTCCTAGCTTCCATGTTTTAGTGCAGCAGATCCAGCTTGGGTTTCCTGCAAGATGGGATGCAGTTTAGCCCAGGCTGGAGCAGCCATGCCACCCAAACATAGAGCTTCTGACAGGTGCTAACTCCCAGATATAGGAAAGAGGATGCACTTTGTGCTCCGTTTTCAGGGGGCAGATGGTGCTGGGATATACGGAAGCGGAGCTGCGTACGTGGGCAGTCGGTTACCAGCTTGTGCACGTGGCCGACATGATGTACTGCGCGGAGAAACACATGAGACGTGAGTGTGGAGGGGACCCGGGGAGGCCCTGACCCGCACGGGGGCATCACGGCTGCGTGATGAGGGCAGCTCTTGGGGACTTGGCCTTGTCACAGCCACCCGCTACCAGCAAAGCTCGGGCTCTGCTGTTACCTTTGCTTCTTGGATGGGCAATCCTGTCTGGGATCTGAAGTGACCCTGTGGAAGGATTTTTTTTGTTCTGGGTGAAGCCTATGCATGGAGCTATTAGTGTGAAGTGTCTTTCTATGCAGGGAGAGGAGCATGGCCATGAAACGCAGCCTCACATACTATGGCCTGCCTCCATAGCATGGCTGTGAGGGGAGCTTCCAGCTCGGGAGCTCTAGCACATGTGAGCTGTCCACCTCACAGAGTTACAGACTAATCATGTCTGTGCCCACTGTGCTTCCTCTCTGCTGCAGTAATGAGGACGGGGGAGAGCGGCTCGACAGTCTTCAGGCTGCTGACCAAGGAGGCTGGCTGGGTCTGGATCCAGGCCAATGCCAGGCTGGTGTACAAAGGAGGCCAGCCTGACTGCATCGTCTCCAGACAGCGGGTCATCTCGTGAGTATCGCTGGCTGCGGGGCTCTCTTCACCTTCTCCTCGCTCCTGGGAGGCTGGAGGGGTGTGTGATGGTAGATTTTACTCCTGGCACGAGGAGGCAATGCAGTTGGAGTAAAGTGTGGCTGGGCTGCACATCCAGCATCTTCCTCTGTGTATGCCTTCCTGTGGGAGAGGGACACAGGTCTGCTGGAGCTCAGGATTGGAAATGCTGTCATTAAAACAGCTGTAGGGAGGTGGTTACGGACATAATTTTCTGCCTCCAGGGAGCCTTGTGCACGCAGCCCTTCCCCAGGCAATACAGGGACTTCTCTGTGAGCTTCCCACACCCCCAGTCCCCTACTGCTAGTATCTCAACTAGTACCAGTCCAGTCCAGGACCATCTTTTCAGAAACAGCTCTATGAGCTCCCATGTTACTACTTGGAGGCTGTTTTTTGCCTTGCTCAGACAATATAACTAGGCTGCTTTCATTTCTTTTTCCTCTGTCTTGAAGAAATGAAGAAGGAGAAGAATATCTGCGGAAGAGAAACCTGCACCTGCCTTTCAGTTTTGTCACAGGGGAAGCAGTCTTATATAGGAGTGACTTTCCTGACTTCCTGGATTCCTTCCAGCCTAAGGAGGATTTTCAGACAAATAACAGCTCCTGCATGGAGCAGTGCTCAGTAGATCCCAATTCTCTTCTTGGGGCCATGAAGAAGCAGGATGCATCTGTGTGTGTCTCTCATGCTGATAATGGGCCGCAGCTCCCCGTGACAGCTCTCATCTGTGAACCTGATGGGCCAGGCCCAGACGAGACAGCCAGTGACACCAAGGAGGATAGCAACTCCCTCCTGGTCATCATTGAAACCCTCTTTGAGAAAAGTGAGATGGACAAGGACATCTGCCAGACCCTCCAGAACCTCAGTGTGGACAACACGGAGCTGCAGCAGTGGGAGGAGATTCTGTTCGACTTGGGTGCAGAGGAGCTGACATCTCAGGGCAATGTTGAGAGGCTGGACAGTGAGGTGAACGCCTGCCTGGAGCAAATCCCTTTCAGGAAGGACACTGGGGAGAGCACGGACTTCCCGCTCTGCAGTGCAATGGGGACATCCTGCGGCGGGGAAGGAAGTCCTGCAGCTCTCTGGGCAATTCACCCAGCAGCTCCTGCACCACTGGGGTTTCAAACACCACTGCCCTGTCAGGCACCTGATGCACAAGACCCAGATGCTGTGGTCTCTCTTGTCGCCACTATGCCCGAGGGCAGCTCTGCTCCATCCAAACAGCAAGTCCCATTTAACCCAGATGGGCTCATGAGAGGAACCACCACTGGTGCTTTAGGTTCCCTCAGCAAGCCCTGTGTGACAGGTCAGCTGGCAAACCCGGGGCAGTTGTTTCAAGGAGAAGTCATCAGTCCCCTTCCTGCAGACAGCATTGTGCCTAAAAACCAGAGCCAGCTGATGGACTCAGGATGTCCTTTTCCACTGGACTCAAATGCACTAGTGACTCAGTGGCCCAATACTCCTGTCCTGGCAAACCCAGAAGACTCTCCGGGGCAGAGCATTGCCCCAGAACACTGCCTGTCAGATGCTTGGGTGACTGTGGCTCCAGAAAAGCTGGGAGTAGCAGCAGTGCAGGTGGAGTCACAGCAAAATGCTCTGTCTGGGAGCCAGCAGAGCGAGTTTGGCTCCCCGGAGCCAGAGCTGTGGTTGTCACCCTTGCAACCTCCTCCTTGGCCTGAGCAGGGCTTGTGCAAGTCGTGCAGCGTCCAGCTCTCTGCAATTGAGGAGCTCCATATTGCAGCAGCAGCTCTCCCTGTGCGAGATCCAAAGCCTTTAGAAGCTGGTCTGCTGCCAGGAAATGGGAACTTCCCCAAAGAGCCTCCGTCTCCCTTCGACGTATCCAGCTTTTACTGGGAAGGGGACCAGGTGATGCTCCAAGAGGATAAGTGGTTGACACAGCACCAGCCACAGCTCCTGCAGGCTGGGACATGTCCCCAGGGATGCAGCGAGCTAACGGCGATGCAACACGACAGCCTCCTGCTGGATGATGGCATGGACCCACACACCCAGCACACGGACCATGCGGTCTGGCCTCCGTGGGAGTACGGCAACAGCAAGGGCTTCTTTAAACATCAAAATGCCTTTATTAAGGATGTCCTTCCCCAGCATCCAAGGACTTTGTCCTGCCACAGTGAGAGCCACCCTGGAGCATCATTTTACTCATCAGGACCCACACTGGGTTGCTCAACAACTCTCCCTGTGGAGGTAGGTGCAAAAGCACCCTCTCCTGAGCTGGACTCTTGCTGTCCATCCGTGTTCTTCACAGACAGACAGGCAGGTGGGCAGCCAATCTGTGCTTGAAATGCTCCTTTCAAGGTAAGGTGTGAAGGCTGTGGGACCTAAAAGACACCTATTTACACATGTGGAGCGTGGGAGGACAAGCTGGGTACATGGTGACTGATGGGTTGTTTGCTGGCATTTACTTTGTCACACCCTTTGTGTGATGGAGCCATGTGGCTTCCAGGATCCTGGGCAAGAAAAATGTCTAGAAATACTTCAGACCACAAGGATTAATTTAAGCAAGAAGCCCATTTCTTTACATTAATAATTTTAGAACATTTTCCTGACCATTCTCCCAAAAACTGTATAGGGAAAGTCTATTTTCAGACCTCAATGTGAACTTCTCTTTGCAGCTTGGCAGCCATATTTTGAAAAACACCTGGCAGTGGTGGCCTTTCCTGCGCTTGCCAGGCAGCCGTCAGGTGATGCCACACACTTCTGGAGCAGTTAAGATCTTATCTTCTGGTGCCTGAAATGAGGTGCCACCAGAGAGTGCCTAGGTAGGGTAGTATCAATCCCCAGACTGCCTCAACACCTCCACTCTGCTCCTTGCTCCCTGTCTCCATCCCTTCTCCCTCACTTGGGATCAGGACATAGACCAACCCAAAGGTGAATCTTGGAGGAACAGGTACCAACCAGGCCATGAGCCCTCCCATTCAGCCAAGTGGAGAAAGTCCAGCTGGCCTCCGTTCTGCTCACCTTGGGTTTACCACTGACTTGTCTTTGCCTTGCCTTCCTTTCCTGTGCTCAGCAGGGCCACCTGATGGAGGAAGCCCCTGCGATGGAGTTCACCCGTGCGCTTGCTCAGGACAGCATGCTCGTCACAACGTCCTGAGAAAGAGAGGAAGCAAGAGAGCCAGTGACTGTTTTGCCTTTCCACTGTGTACTGACTTTGTGGCCTTTAAGCTGTTCTCCTGGGAGACCAAGACAACCACTTACTTACATTTCGTTTTATTGTATTCTACCAAAGGATTTTTTTTTTCCACCATGGGCCGAATTCCCCCAAATCTGTCAGGGAAAGCCCACAGGGAAAAGAAAAAGGATGGGGAATTTGGTTGGAGGCCACAAGCCAGATCAGTCAGAGATGTCGGCGTGGCTGTGGACCTCCAGATCTCCCTCCTTATGCCTGTTATGCTGAGCTTCAGGCCTCAGGCACCAGGATCAAGGGGCTACTGCTTATTCTTATTACGTGGCGTAGTTTCCAGAGCAGAGCAACGTGTCAATCTTTCTGTGTACCAGCGTGTGTCTTCGGTAATTTCCCCGTGTGCTTTTAAGATGTTGGCTTTGTGTTGTTAGCCTTGTAGTTAGGCACTTAGAGGAAAAGCCACACCAGCCTAATGGGGATTCGGGGAAAGATGCTACATTTTCTGTACGCCCAGGCATGATATAAATGGTCAGTTAAAGATGATCTTCGGTGGAAAAAGGGCTTTGACGAAACAAAATTTTTCACCACCTAATGTCTGTTTACCCTGGAACTGGTAGAAAACACATACTGAAACAATCCCCAAGCCAGCAAAAGCAGATGATGATCCCAGCACTATCCCAACAACAAGCCTGGATGTATCCTAATTCTGTGAGAATTGGCACTCTCCTGATCTAGAGGTGCCTCAGTAGGCATAAAAGGAGAACTGCAGTGGAATGGCCTCATCTCCCTGGTTCTTTTCCTTCCCAGCTGTCTCCCTGCACACCTTCCCATCCTAGGGTTCCCAGAGCCTCTGCCTCAAGGCTTTGCCCAGAGGGAAATTGCTAGGGAAAGGATAAGCCGCTTAGAACAAACCCCAGATAAACTGGCCAGGAGGAGAGTGATGCTAGAAATGTGCCTGACCTATTTCAGGAGGAAGCCTAGAGGAATATTGAGGGCAGAGCAAGGACTTGATCGGCTGTGAGATGGATCCTTGAGTTCAATGGTTTCAAATGCTAGGAATTTTAAGAGAAAAGACACTTAGGAAAAAAAAAAGCAGTACTTCTTGGCTTTTCTGTTTTGACATATGTAAGGTGTTATGAAAGGGTGCACAAGCCAAGCGTGGGGGGAACTGAGGGCTCCATGTTCTGTGGGATTTATTAATGCGGGTGTTTTTTTAATGCAGGGTCTGTTCTTCCTCCCATGGCACCCTGAGGAGGTAGCACCCTATCTGGTTCCCTTGATTAGGGCCAGGACAGACCCTCCGTGACCTCAGTGCATTATTGTTAATTATGTCTTAATTCATTATGTATTATGTAAATGCATATAAAGGGTATTTTTATGACCAGAGCTCACCTTTGCACTTCATGGTTTCTTTGGATGCTATTTGCAGACAAAATATATTGGGAAAGAAAAAAAAAATATATTGAAACTCCTCTGCTTTGTATGTATTAAAACACAGTTTGTTTTGTATCAATACAGTGTCCCCGCTTCCCGCCCAGCTCCCGGCGCTGCTCCCGCGCTCTGTGCCCTTCCCTCCTGTCATGGCGTTTGGGGCTCCGTGCTCATCCCCGCATGGCTCCCGCCACCCAGGCTCGACGCCCCGCTCCCTGGGCAGGCCCCCTCGAGCTCGGGGAGGGGATCCTCGACCCGCCCCCAGCTCCCCAGGACTTGCCCGCTCCCCGCTAGGGCTCCATCCCCAGCAGCTCCTTGGAGAGGCCTCCTCACGGCCAGGGCTGTGGCGCTGCTGTGGGCGCCGCGGCCGCCCCTCTCAGCCAAGGTTGCCCAAACCTTCCCACCCCAGCGAGACCCTCCTGGCTTGCAAGGCCGGGGCGCAGCAGAGCTGCCGGGTTCCGCGGTCACCCGTGTGAGCGCGTTGTCCCCGCG